GATATTTGTTTACACACTGGCATCCTGTTACATTAATGTAGCTTCACACAAACACAGATGTACAGCAGGCCTTCAGTGTGGACTTTGTTTCAGAAATGGTCATGATATCGGTTTGGATATGTGGTGAGAGGGAAACATGAAGATGAAACCAGGAGATGTCCTTACTGAATCATCAGAGCTGAACAGGTGATGGAGAAACAAGTTTACCCCTTAGGTGACATGAATGAGTTGAAGGGAAGTTATGAACTGTTTCTGAGAGACAAATAACACCAGGATCCTCTGTAGCTGACAACTGGTAACTGTGCAGAGGCAGCTCTACCAAAGTTTTGCCATTGGGGACAGGTAATGCATTAACAGGGAAAAGGGAGCAAAAAGAAATACTTTTCTTTCTTATTCTCATTTAAAATGTCAAGCTTTTAATAAATAATTACCTGAACCTTACAACCAATGTTTTCATCAGTTGTAAAATGTATAGATATCCATTATTGTACATAGTCATTTTTTTCAGGGTCCCATTATAATTTCTTCAGAAGTAAGTACTGTATATGTTGTGTATGTCCCACATTTTCTAGATTCTGTACCAGTACTGTGTGTAAAATGCCATCAAAAAGTCAATGAAGTGTTATTCTTCCTCACCTTCTGTCTCCTTTCACTTTTTAAAGGTTGCCATGTTAGAAAAAACATTTTGCCCTGCTATGCTGTTAATTGATGTGGTAAATAAATAGTTTATGAAAATATCACTAAATCTGTCAGTTATTATTTTTAATATTCAGTAATGATCATGTCTCACCTCTTAGTCTCCTCTGTCTTAATTTCAGGTTTCCACCATGTGTTGTAGATAGTTCAAGAGGTTAACGCGACCAAGCAGGCTTCGGGTTTCAGCTAAGTACTGTTTAGAATACCAGAATAGGGAGGATGGTGTAGGTTTAAGTTTATTAGACTGATACATATATACCAACAAGACAGTGTACATCACTGTGACAACGGTGTTTGTTTTCATTCAAAGGTTTTTATTATAGTGGTGGGCTGGTCTCTAATCAAAATGCCCAGGCTGATTTTTTGTCCCAGTCCAGCCCTGTATGCAGCTCATCTGCAGTCTGGAGTTACCTACATCTTCCTACTCGGAAGGCAGAATTTCCGAGTACCAAGTACAATCAAAAGTACCACGACTGCAGTTTCCGTGTTGGACGTAAAAAGCACACGTGATGCTGTGACGTAGGCTAGAATCATGGCAGAAGTCGACGACGGTCCAGGCCTGGGATTTCTCTCGTGGTAATATGCACATTATTTTTTCCTTTCTGTTGGTAGGTGGCACAGTGCAATTGTGGCTAGACAGTGCTAACATGTAAGCAAGCTAGAAGACTGGCATCCTTGCTGGGTATCCAGTTAGGGAAGCAACACATCAATACAAGAATTCTGAGTAAAACCAAAGTTACTTTCCCTAGTAACTAGTTACTTTGAAAGTACCGAGTAACTTGAAGTAACTGAGTTACTTTTGATAGAAGTAACTAGTAATGTAACTAAGTTATTAATTTAAAATAACTTACCCAACACTGGTTTTCAGTTCTTTGAGTCATATCAAAGTGTTTTAGTATTTGGTTAAAATGCCTTATGAAAAGGAAAAAAGATAAGATCACTGACATCTTCAGTATTCTGAATATTTTTTCATGAACTATAAACTACATTCACTCCTACAGGAGAAAGCCAAGTGCACCAAAGAGAGAGTGGCTCTTTCTGCTACCACACAGAGGTCTCTAGACAGGAAAAGTAGTAAGACATAGAAATAGAAACACATGTTTTACATTAATGCTGCTGAGATCCAGTGATCAGTGGTGCATGTGGTACTTCTTTAGGGTTGGTGAATCTCCAGCACAGACTAGAAAGATGCAGCAGAAGCCAGATGCCCCGCTACCAACAGGTGTGGGACACGGCTGTGGGATTTTATTACTTTTTAATTCATTTTGTGTTTCCCTCTATGTAATTTCTGGATTATATTCCCCAGAAGTTATTTACATACATTTAGTATCCCTTTCCTGGAATCTTGAAGCCAAGCCAAGGACAAACAGTTTGTGCCCCCAGGACAACTTAACCGTCAGGGGCAAGTCTGTACTGGTCCAGATTGTAAAACAACTTTATAACACAACCATTTCCTGAAGTCATTTTCTAGATAATCATTCTTTCTCAGTGCATTGGACACCAAGATTTAAACGTTTTTTTCTATTAATTAATTAGAATTGTAAAATCATTTGTCACATATTAATAAAAGTAGCAGTCTTCAGACACACCCTGCTTTTGACGTATTTAAAGTCACCACAGTGACTCTCTTAGGAGCTGGTACAGAAAGACCCCAGAGGAGAGGGTGAAGCGCACAGAGAACCTGAAGAAGCAACACTCGCTGGGCTAATTCATGACACAACATGCCCCGACCTGTGACCTGCTAACCACATGATTGTCCTTCAGTTAGCTTTGGAAATTCACACGAATGTATTCACACACAAAAACACGATCACAGCGCTGTTGGTTTCTGTTGGTCACTGTTGCTACTCACCGAAATTATTAGTTTCAACAGCTGATTGTTATGATGAAGAAAAGAATAAGTAGCTGTAGTTAAATGTAAGCCACAAGAAGCTCAATTGACAACATGTAAAAACATTTCTGTGCCTAAGTACTCTGCCTTTGTTGTCTGTCATGTTTTAGCATGCATATATTTAATATCAAGTGCTTATAGCTGTAAGTTGCACACAGACAGTCACATAATGTAGTTGTTCTGAAAATGCAATATTTTAATGTATATGATTTATTACTTCAAGGGCTTTAATTACCAGTTCGTGCATTGTTTTGTTCTTTATGCTAAGTGTACTATAAAATGTATAGTACTCCAAGTCTGAGTCGTATCAGGGTGTTTTAGTATTTGGTTTAAATGCCTAATGAAACGGAAAAAGGATAAATATCTGTGTTTACACTCTGGCATGCTGTTACATTAATGTAGCTTCACACGACCACAGATGCACAGCCGGCATTCAGTGTGGACTTTGTTTCAGAAATGACTGTAGAAAAATAAATTTACAAGACCAAGACATTTGGTCTTGTAAATGGACATTTTAATGAAATAGTATTTCTGAAATATTGTGTGAACTGATGCGTTTACTGCAGCACCACGCTGACTTCATATTTGTGCACTTGTAGCATTCAGCATTGATGTTTTTCTCCCACATTGCTGTGTGTGTCTTTTAAAGGATGATTTATTTCATTTAAAATGTCAGATTGTCTTTTTTCTTCAATGTCCAGAATAAAATCTGAAATTATTTAAATTTTCATTGAATTTAATTCACAATACAGTTAAATTATAACCTAGCTAAACTAACCTAACTATAACTTAGCCATAAGTTTTTGACATGAGCTTCTTTTCTGTTGTTTGCTTTACCGATGTTTCATGACCCAGTAAATACGTTCAGCATGGTTTCAAACAAGGATCCTACTTAGATATTAAATTCTGGACCATGATAAGGTAATAAAGCCAAATATGAACAGCGGTTATGTTTATTTTTCAAAAATCTCTAAAAATAATTTACTGTATTTACACAAACTATGTAAAACATAAATAAAATATAATAAGGACAAAAATAAAATACTAATATACAGAAAATGTCTTTAGTTTTAGATTGTAGAGTAATTTTTGTGTAGTGTTTAAAACTACAGTAGTGTGAAAACGTATTTGTCACCTACCTGATTTTTTTTTTCTTGTATGTTTGTCACATTTTAATGTTTCAAATCCTCAAACGGGGGATTTAGGAAGGAACGCTGGTTTGAATGGGGAGTTGAGGAGGGCATTTACGTGAAAAGGCAAAGATCATCTCTGAATCGAGGAGGGGGTTTAAGGGTACATCTTTCGCCATCTTACAATGCTGTGATTGTAGACATTCCCAAAGTCTGTGATTGGTACTCAAGGCAACTAATCAATGGTCATGACAATTTGCATATTAATGATCAAGAAACTGACCTCGCAGTCCATTGTTTATTCAGTGGGCTAGTTTCAGTCCTTGTGCAATGTGCTGTTTATAAGGTTGGAGAAACCTGCAGTCAGCTGAGACTGAAGAAGTCACTTGGATAAGGATGTTTCTCCCTCTGACGCTACGTCCAGATGAACAGAATCAACCTTTTGGGACCTTCATTTAGAAACTCCATTTTGTCTTTACTAGTATTATTTTTGTTTGATTTGTAAATTTGTTTGCTGTTCTGAAACACTGAAGTATGACAAACACAAAAATAGGAAATCAGGAAAGGAGTAAACACTTTTTCACACCACTGTATGTTTGTCACGCAATGCAATCAATTTTTTGGTGATTTTAGGGTAAAAAGATCTGGGTTAAAAACAAATTTCCTATCTAATGATTACAATAAATATTTGCTTGCACGTAAGATTTATTGAACAGTATACAATATCAAATGCATGCATTCTTTTAGAATCAGTACAGATGAAGCAAGAAAGCTAAATGATATACTAGCTGCATCACAGTGTGCTGCATTAATTAACATTTAAATGCTCTATGCAACAATCTCAGTTTTGTTCATCTTTTTCTTCAACAACTGTATGGTCACTTAAAATTATGAGATGTAAATATCTTTGTTTCACCAGTGTAATAAAGGAAGCACCTTAGTACCTTTTTGTAATGACATTACCAAGGTTACAGGAAACATGACAGTAAATGCTAAACGTGAATGAACTGTTACAGGAAGAAATAAAGTATGGTGGGTGGAAGAAACACGAGAGAATTACTGAAGACAAAAATCAAAACAGGAATTTAACAATATGCACAGAAGTAATTAAAATTTTAAACATTTAACGTAACAAAAAATAACAAAGAAACAACCTGAACCTAAACTCAAACTGTAATATATTCACCAATAATTCCAAACCCAGAAAAAGCAAAATGGCAGGGAGATGACAGAAGTAGCTGATGATTTCCTGCAGCTTTACTTAGAGCCATTTCTCACTATTTGTCATGTACGCATATTGTATAACTGCAACAAACAAGTATTTGTCATTAGAACTGTGATGTAAAATTGGTACCTTTTCAGTGCTGGATGAGGCTCAATGTTTAACTGATAAGCACTTACATTAAAATAAACGTTCCCGTCCCAATGAACCAACAGTATACACATCAACTTAAAACATTAAATTATGATATTTAAAACAAGCAAAAAAATCAAAATGCTTTTGGAAACCGTAATCTCAGACTCTTACAATTAAAACCATAAATCTCAGGTTTAAATGGAGAATGCATTACATGTCTTCACGCTCTGCTATAAGTGATTAAAAACTACAACAAATTTTTAAAAAGAAAGAAATCAAAACATGATTTAGACACTCGTGATTAACACCTTAATATTAGCAGTTTTAATTGATATCTATAATATTCAAGATGCTTTTTGTATAAAATTCATTAAAAAGTCAAAAGTACACATAAACACAACATTAAAAGAGAGCAAAACAAATATTACTGTGATAATATGTAAAGACCTCGTGTCTCTAATCAGTGTTTCCTCAGGGATGTCCTGTGGGTTATCAGGCCTCAGCTGTTTCTGTGGAGCAAATGAAAAATGGGTGCTGGATGGATCAGTTAAATTTAAATAAAAACCAGTGCTGTCACCGTTAATCTCGTTAACGTGAACCGATCCATGTTAACACGTCAAAACTGGCAAATCCCCGTTAACGAGTTAACGAAGATTAGTACCTGTGAGGGGTTACTCGGCATTAGCGTGTTCACGCAGACGCTTTAACGCCGTCATCACGACTAACACGATTAATAATTAACTCATCTGGAGAACACTCTGACTCAAAATCCTCTGAATGTTTCTGTCAACGCATTTCAGGCAGTTTGTCCGAAATTTGTCTATTCTGCACTACAGATGGGTTGAGTGCATTAAAAATGTTTATCGTGTTAACTTTGATGACGTGTATTAACATGATTAATGCTAACAGCACTAAAAACATTGTTCAAAATAATCAGAAAAATAGTTCATGATCACAGCCTTTTAAACAATTTGTGACATTTTAAGATTTACCCAGTGTGGTTACTTTTTTTCATCTTGATCACGATTAAGTTCATCACAGTGTTTCTTCACCATCTCAAGATGTTCCAAAACATCTAAAAACAAAGTATTTGTTTTTATTAAATATTTATTGTTAGTGTTTGTATTGTGAGGATTCCTAACACTTTATATATTCTGTTTACCTGGCAGTGAGCAGGCCTCAGTCTTGAGTGAGTGTTCAATGGAATCCTCCATGGTTTTCTTCAGCGTCCTCAGGACAGTTTCCTAATTTATCATCAAAGCCTTTGTTACTTTTTAAATAGGCAACTATTGAATCCAAGAATAACTGGACAAGAGATAAATTATTGGTTTGATATGTTTCAAGACTGCTTGAAAAAAAAAAAAAAAAAAACCTTCAAATCGTTCAACTGCTCCAACATGGCATTTTTTGCCTCTTCAAACATGTACTTCTTTGACTCCACATGTCTCTCAATAGTGTCCCTCATCCTCTTCAGGGTGCCTGGTCCTTCAAATGCTGCTGCTTCTACAAGGAGACAATCATTTTCATGCACAGTTGACTAGAAATACCGAATTTTTCTAACCATAAGGCGCATCGGATTATAAGGCGCATTAAGCAAAACAAAACAGTAAGATAAGTCAAACTTTACTCAACTCATTCTTCTTGCTTCCTCCACTTCCGTATGTGAAATGTGAAAATGAAAATTACCTGAAGCGCCTCAATGCTATGCTTTATATTAACCAAAATGTCATATAACTGTATAGTGTAGTATTAAGTGGACACGGCCCTGATAATAAAGGCATTAGACTACGTGTCCTTTAGTGGTAGAATGTTGGAGACTCTCGCCCACATTTGTCTGTAGAAGTAGATAACAGGGAATCATCTCTCAGTGGAAATGTACTAGAATACTGTGGTTTAGACTAGAGTGAGACAGACTGTAATAAAACTGTTAAGCGCACACTGCCATTTGGAGATTCACTGCAGTGTCATGTAGGACGCATCTCCCTTCTGGAAGTAATAAAAGTGTAAAATGGTCTAGTGAGCAGTGTGTTGTCTTCCATTAGATGCCTATGAGGAATCGAAAGAACTCGGTGAAGTGTTGATATTTAACACGTAACATTGATTCATTATTGTTGAATTCTCTCACAGCTGCTCTACTCCCATGTTGTTGCACTATATTAATGACTAACCTCGTATTGTGGATGGATTATCTCAGCTGTTCTCCTGACTGAAGTTTGGTCCGTTTACAGCATCTTGACATGTGAATGCATTTCTCCCTAATCATCGGGAACCCCCACATTAACTTTCATCGAGTGGAAAAAAGTTAGCATTCATCCTTCAGCTTCACTGTGTTTATGTTATGCAAACATAGGTATGTTCCTAGCGATTATGTAGCACATCATTATATACCAGCTAGTCCAACTTCAGTGTATAAAAGGCTCTGAGATTTTATGTCCTGCAATATTGTTTGGGGTGGAGTTGTGGGAAATGACATAGGCAGAGGTTTGAGGTACTGCACTGCTGCTCCAGAAGGGAAGATTGTATTTCTGAGTTAGTTCTGTTACCTCCTCATGTAAGTTGTGCTCCTGTTCGCCATCCTTCACAATGATGCTCTGAGTGCTAAGTTCATGACTAGAAGTAAGTTTCCTTAAATATGTTATTTGGCATGTGCCACTGGCTGCTGCCATTATGTAGTAGTTTATTCGGCCACAGGATGGCGCCAAAGTTCCTTGTCAATGGTTAGCGTGAATGTTTCTGCTTATAGTATCGCATTACCACTGTGCTTAATTGGAGTTATTATATATTAAGTCATGGATATATTTATATGGATGTGTTGGTTTATTTCATTGGATATTTTTGAGTTTATATTAGTTTAGCTTCTGCAGTAATATATTCGGTCTCATGGCAATTTATTTGTTACTACAGACTGCTGGCAACACTGAGCATCTAGTTGGCAATAAAACGGCCGGCGGTGACAATCCAGCAAAGTGGAAGCGTCTTGTCCTCCTTCCTGTATCCTGACCGATACACTATCTTGTTAGCTGTTGAACCTAAAAGAACTAGCCCTCACCTAACACTTCTAAACATTCAGTAACCTTACAAAAGTCACTGCTGTTTAGTTTTCTCTCTTCATTTATGTCTGAAGTGATAGCAGAGCTATACGTTTTGATTTTTTCAAAAATCTCTCAGTCAGAATATATATGTGGTATATCATATTTAGGTGGAAACTAGTGAGCTAACTTCCTGCTAACTTCTAACTCAGCTAAATTTAATAAATTTTGTTTTCATGGATGTCTGGTTGTTAAACGGATTACGACTGGGATTATGCCGCGAGGCTGCTGATTATGGTAGCCGTAATGTTCCGACAATCCATCAAGCGATGTGGCTTCGTAGCTTACCAAAGTAGTACTAAAACATTTTTGACAGATTTTTGAACGCTGTGTACCACTTAAAATCAATTCGAGGTCAGTAGGCATAACCAGAATTCATACATAGGGCGCACCGGATTATAAGGCCCACTGTTGATTTTTGAGAAACTAAAGGATTTTAAGTGTGCCTTATAGTGCAAAAAATAAGGTAATTCACCTCTTTCTTACCTTTGTAGCATCCTTTCATGTTACTCCTGATTGTCTCTGTCAGACTGTTGTAGATCCATTTCTTTTGTGTGAGGATGGTTTTGTTGAGCTTTGTCTTCATTTTTTTTTCCTTAGAGACATGAAATACGGATTAACATTATTTAAAACAACATTAAGGTAAAATAACTACAAGTTCAGTGTTTGAATGACTTTCTAATAATAGCTAAGCTAACAGGTTCATGGATAGGGAAGTTCCCCAGCCAACATTTATATGTGGGGCCCATATGGTTTTGAAATGGGCTGAAAAATGGGCCCCGTATAGGATTGTCCGCGGGTTCCGTGATGGCCCCATATTAAATGCCCATATAGGTGTTATGTTAGGAAAATCTGGGAACTAAATGGGCCCCAACTGGGCAAAGTACACAAAAACCCACCCGGGCCCCATAAATCAAGTTTTTTGTGGGTACCATGTGGGCACTACATAGGCTAAAAAGTGGGTTTTAAGTGGGATTGTCCGCGGGTTCCATAATGGCCCCATTTTATAAGCCCATCTCGATGTTATATTGGTAAAATCTGGGAACTAAATGGACCCCAACTGGGCAAAGCACACTGAAACCCACCTAGGCCTCATTTTTCAAGTTCTTAGTGGGTACAACATGAGGAAAACATGAGCTAAAAAGTTTGAATGGCATGATCTTTTACCTCTGTCTGGAGAAATGTCAGTTGCAATTTGACATTTTTGTACTTTTCAATCAGTGAATCAGTGTTGAGTGAAAACGCATCAATGGCCCCATTGAAATTTCCACATTTTAGGTCGTTTCTGAATGGGGCAAAGATGTGGTTTATAATAGCAGTATTAGCAAGTTTATGATATAGTGCGATTTGGATACATGTATTGTTGTACATATTGATGCTGTTCAGAATTCAATTATTCTCACGGGAAGGTCTTTCTGAATTTTTCATCAATGCTTTCAGTCAAATAAGACGCTAATATCATGTTGAGGTCTTTTCGCTTCCCTTTTTTTGGTTTCTGGATGCCAACATTCCTAACTGCAGACTTTAGCGTCTTGTGAAAAGATCTGCCACTTGTTTTCTGAAACAAAACAGAATTTTTATTTAATTTTTTTTAAACACATGGTCACAAAGTATCCTGAGGTTTTGATCCTGTAATTAAAACACATACACTGGGGTGTAAGAAGGACCTCAGTTTTCTTTCACATAAATTTTGGGATTTTTCAACTCCCTCACATAGGTGTTGTTCAAAAGCTTTTGTAATGTCTTCAATTGCTTTTTTGACTCGATTATGTTGGATGCTCAAGTTCCCCTCAAGGACTGCACACACCTCGTTTTTTTGTTCAACCTGAAAAAAAAGAAAGATCATTATTTAAAGCAGTAAAACATCACATAATGGTTCTTTACTCATTTTTGAGGCGGTCTTGAGAAACCCAGGCTTTTAACAGGAATCTCATGCATAAGTTCAGTCAGACAGGTCTGTCATCATTTGTCTGCCTCTGTCTATTCGTTATGTCACTTCCATTTTTCCACACTATTGAACTCATTACTCTAGTCTGATCATTTTTTGCCTTCTGCAAATCAATCATCCTCTGTTCTCTGTGTTTTTATATGATTTTTTGTCATTCTGCCGTTCAGACTCTCATTCATGCAACTTGCCCCCTCCCCAACTTCACCTCAACCTTCCTGCGGTCACTCAGAGCCCCATCCAAACTACTATTTTCACTACCCCAAGAATCTAGACTCTCTGGGTCCTGTCCTAACTCCCATCATTTCTGTGCTCTCATTGGTTCACTGGAGTCTCATTGGTAAATAACTATTTAATTAAATTCTGTATCTCAATAAATAATATTCAGTTCTTCCAAATAATCTCTCTCCTCTTTCAATCACTAATAATAAATTACCACATATAGATTTATGATGTCCAGTATCCCACATTTTCAGTGAAGGTCAGCATGCCTTACAATATGTTAGTAAACTTTAGTGAACATTTTATGAACATTTTTATTTTATGCATTTTCTTTAAGAAGATTATAAATGAGGCTTTATTGCCTGATCTTACCACTTCTCTGCTTCTGGCTCCTTGAATCAAAGACAGAATCCCATGAGCTCCAGACACATAGTTTGAAGTCTCTGAACAAGCGTCATTTAGATTTTTCAAAATTTCCTTGAGTTTCAGTATTTCTGTTAGAAATTGAAAAAGAAATATAAATCTGAGCAATACATTTTCTGTTACACAAAAACATACCATCACTGGTAGTGACTTCACCTACCATTGACATCTGGATTTACATTCTCCCCTTTGAGGAACTCTTTGGAGCTCACTGTGAAGACTTGGAAACTATCCTCACTGAAGTGATTCTGAGAACATTTTTGTTAGTCAGTTTTTATTTTTGGACCGTTTAAGAAAATAATTGTTTTAGATTTTGCTGTCAGATTGTAAATTTACCGTAATCGTTTCCCGCTTTTTGAATGCATTCATCACTGCTTTCTTGACTTTGTTTCTTTTAGAAAGGAAATAAAAATTGGATGTAAAAGTAATTTATTGTTAGTATTGTAATGGAAAATTTCAATTATTCTTATTTAAGGTTCAAGCATTTGTGTGCATACTTAGTTGTGGCACTGTAATGAAAACTTCCACTGAGCAGTCTAAAACTAGATGAACTTATTTCAGCCTCAGTAGTTGAAAAAAATAACTCCTTTTGCAGGTGGTGATAACGGCAAGAGCACGAAACAGGATACGCATTGTTCAGTTAGGTTTCAGAGCGAGCTGCGTCACGTGCTGTATGATCACTTTCGGACTTCCTCACTTTTTTGGGGAATAAATAAAGGTGTGAGAGCTGCACTTCTGTTTCAGAGACTGCATGACGGCGCCTGACTGCGTGTGCTCTCTCTCATGCGCATGATAATAACGAATGTTCATTACAGCCGAATGTGTCTGTGGACTTTGTTAATTAAATTTCTACAACAGTATTTATCTAATTAAAAACTTATTAAAACACATATACATAGATTTTTTTTAAATGTATAACTTTTAATAATGACTTTTAAACAAAGTCTTTTAAACTTTTAAAGCAACAAAAGTGAATCATATGGTCACCATGTGTATCTGTAACTATCTGTGCCAAACTTTCTTTGTAATTTGATTTTTTTGTATATTTGACTTACATATCATCTGGTTTTTCATGATCTGACTTGGTGCAGATAAAATGAATTTGCTGACACTCGCCACCATTTCCCAGCAGGCTGCTGGCATCTTCCAGGATGTCCCAGGCTTCTCTTTCTGATGCTGCTCGAGTCATTTCAGTCACAATCCACACTGTAGAACAACTGGCAATAAACTGAAAAGGAAATGAATGCATGTAAATTATAAATAACTAATGCTTTGAAGAAAGATAACATGACTTCTGTGAATTACCTCTGTCCACATTTGATCTCTGCTTCTATTAGAGTCACCGTTTCCAGGAAGGTCCACGAGTGTGACATGATCAAGAAAATCATTGTCTGGCACTTTGACAGTCACACACTTCACAAGTGGCCAGTACCACCTCTTTACTTCTTCTGTCTCATTTGACTCACTTCTTGTATATCTCACAAATTTTTCAGACAATCCTTCAGCCTGCAAAAACAAACAAACAAGATAAATACAAGCCAATTGAATGTATGTGCTCATAACAAAGATTTTAATGATTGCATGAAAAAGAAGATGGGAAATTAAAATAAGACATCCTAAAATCTGAAATTAAAACCAGGAAAATAAATCCAAAGTAATTAGATTTTTTTTTTTTATTAAAAAAAAAAAAAGAAACCTTTTTCATATTTTACTGTGGATCACAGTAAGTGGCCTGGTTCTTATATAGTGATTTCTTCTACTGCATGTAAACATTTGAAGCACTTTATAAAACTTGCCTCATTACCCCAAGCACTTTTTTCTGGGTATGTTATTTCTAGCTAACACTTACAAACATTCATTCTCTGATGGATGCATCAAACATCAACTGGGGGTTTGTAGATATTTGGCATGCAGACTTGAGGGAGCCAGGGATTAAACCCCAACCCTCCGATTAGTAGGTGACCTGCTCGACCTTCTGAGCAGGAGTTTTACAAATGTGAAACTCTTCAACACCGCCACAAAGAAAACTGCAAGCTCCATGGTAACAGGATAATCAGACAGCAACAGGATAGTAAACCATAAAATTTTAACCACCACAATTTCACTTGTTTTTTTGTTTCTTGTTTGATGGATGTCAAACATTTTGGAAATGAGGCACATCGACATATCGCCGACATATATCTGCTCAGCAATAAACTACAGCAACATCTGCTTCACCAGTGCTTTGATTCTGTCTGCACTTTCCATTAGGGTGGCATTACACAGCGTGGACATCTTCCTGCTGCAAAGGTGCAGCATCAGGGAAGCTTAATGCTGCTTGGGTAACTATTGACTGCTCACTATGTGATGTTCATAAGCCACACACTGCTATGTATCTCACCCAAACTGTGGTCTAATATATGCTTTAAACTGCAAGTATTCCTTTGTTCTAGAAGAAGAACCAGATTTTATTTTGGTCTGTATTACTGCACACTTACTGAGTCACTTTCCAAAATTTTTATCTTGGGCTTCAGAAACTCTGGAATATCTCTGAAATATTTGTTGTCCATGAGGCTGTGAGTTGATTTTCCTTTCCACTCTTCTCCATACAGCGCTGATAACTTTCCATCAGGGTCAAGACAATCATCATTACCACCATCATCATCATCATCATCATCATCATGATCTTCAAGAGCCTGTTTTAGGGACTGCACCTCATTTTCCCAATCCTAAAAAATAAATAAATTATATCTTAATTTTAGTAAAGCAGTTTTCTAACACATTACTTTACTTCAAGAATCACCATATTCATATTTCATTCTACCTCTTTTGTAATGAACTCGATGTGTGCCTCATACTTTGATCCATTGGTAGCCTCCACCTTTATCATTACTGAGGTACATGCACTGACACTTCCAGAAGGCAACAGGCCCTCCTTATTTATGATGGCATTGATTAAAGAGCTCTTTCCAGCCCCAGTTCTACCAAAGACACCAACCAGGTGTCTCTTTTCTGTCTCCAAATCTTTGATTTGATCCCTGTTGAAAGAGATTAAATATGGATTAACTGACCCATTCTCAGAAACATCAAACTGAAAATGCAGTAAAATCAGAAAGATTTGTTTTTTAAAATGTGTTGAAAAAAATCGCCTTACTACTGGAACAAACTACACAGCTCCATGTTGAGCTCTGACCGAGTTTAAATCTTTAGTTTAATGTAAAGGTGGATATGTAAAGCCAGCTCATATACACGTACTATAATGTTTGTGCCTTTATTTTGGTAACTTCCTTTGCAAACGGAAGTGAATGTTGTAACGGTAACTAGCTTGATGTACAAAAGACGCAAGAAAACGGTAAACTACTGGTAACGGAGAAAAAAGAGAAAAACACGGCTAAACTGTATAAAAATGAATGGTTCTAGCTACAGTCGACAGGGGAACAAGGTATGCAATCTACATAATTTAATTTGAGCAATCGGAAATGTATAATTTGTATTGTATAGTTTAATAGAAAGCACCATAATCATTAGTTAAACTAATGTAATGAACTGTTAAAATGATGTTATATGTATAGCATGCAATTGTTTTCTTTGTTTGTCTAGCTCTTACGTTGGTTCGTTGTCTCATACACAGCAAGCAGTAATAAAAGTCATTCAACAACCATCAGTTCTGGCCTTCTCAGTTCGACTGGATGCCACAATCTTTATTATACCCAATATCAGCAAAATGTTCCTCCAACTATTTCTTTTTGCTCCAACTTACTTTCTACCCCCCCCCCCCCCCCCCCTTCCTAACCTTTATTTTTTCTTAAAATGTTACATTTTCTCAGATTAAGAACTTGATATGTTTTTGTTTTCTGTTGTCAATAAAATATTAGAGTAAGAGATTTCATGAATGTTGTTTTTTTTTTTCCATTTTCATTTTACAGACTGTCCCAACTTCCTTGGAAATGGTTGGAAGAACGTCCAACAAAAATAGGAAATCTTTATTACTCACTTTAGGAAAGCGCTGAGCTTGTCACGGCCATGTAGTCTTTCACTGACACGTCTCATTATGTCTTTGACATCAGACAGTATTTCTGTTTCTGTCAGAGGGAAAGTAAAAAACTAATAAGTAGGAACCTGGAACCAATGTAATGCAAATATGGTCCACTGATATGTACCTGACTGTGATCCTGCTGCAGAGTTGTATTGTCGTTTAGGAGATGGTTGCCATTCGCCGAACTCACTCTGAAAAAGTTCTGACTTTCTTTTTCCTTTTTGGATTTAAACAAAATGATAAAATTAAAAAAAAATCTATGAATATTGAAACTTCTGATTATGGTGTATTTTAGATGTTGCAAAAATAATACTGTGAAAATAAATAAATAAATTAGATGTATTAAAATGAGAGTAAGATACATTTTTCTCACCTTTTTCACTTATTGATGGCAAATCCTGTGGAAGCATATAAATATTCAACTTTCACGTTTGAAATTAAATTATTATAAATTGTACATGTATGCATAATTGAATTTATAGAAGAAATCATTGCTCCTGTACAGAAACAATTTGTTCTTTAACAAACTGTCAAAAACATTCACATGCACTTTTTAAAATGTACACACTTATATTTACATATATTCTCAACTAGCACAGTGATTAAAAAAAAAAAAAAGGAAAACTTTTGCATTCTTGCCTCTCAGTAAACATGATCCCATGAGTCAATGTTTCTGCCTAATTCAGCACCAGTGACACAGACCAGTTGGTGACCACCCCATCCCTGGCAACCACCAGCTGTTAGGGTAAAATGTGTATTCCAACATCAGGCAACTACATCAATTGTTTAGTGGTTGGTGGAGGTTGTAAGAACTTTAAGTCGCAGGGTGGTCAGGCTTGTGTGACTGGGGCTTTGCTTTGACTCAGGTCACCTTAGTGTATATTTATGAAGAATGAAGGCATGCTGCTTCATTATCCGATTTCCAATAACCCTTACCTGATCCAAATCAGCTGTTGCTATCACTATGTAGCAGGGTGTGGTTTTTGCAGGGTGACACAATAGGACTTTCATGAATTTCCCCCATGCACATTAGTGGTGTGAGATACTGCTGGATTTGGTATTCCTTTTATACTAAATAAATAAAGGCCCAGTATCAACGATTCTGATACAGATACTGATGCTTTTTAATAATTATGGTGGATGGTGGATCAAACTGCTAAATCAGAATGAATTTTCATGACCTGTAAGTGTTTGGGGGATTTTCTTTTCTTTGGATTATTAATTAAACCCAAGGACAGAAAACATATAATGAGAAGTCTGTATCACATCTACTTGTAGTTTAAATATAGTAACTGCACAGTATCCCTTTTACAGTTAACACAAAGGGGTTATGATATATTCGGGATATTTGTTTCAATCACAATAAATGTTATTATGACACTTGAAAGCAGCGGCACTTAGATAGAGGTTGCCCTTAGGTTGCCTCTTTGATGATTCTAGGAGTAACAAAGAAACAGAAACCAGTATCCCAAAAAGTTAATTCTGTTCATCTGGACTGTTTTCAGTGGGAGAAACGTTTCATCGCTCATCCAAGTGACTTCTTCAGTCTCAGCTAACTGCAGGTTTCCCCAACCTTATAAACATTTGCACTTTATATAGTTGGGAAAATTTGGGATTTACTTACCTGGATGATTGAGTATGTATCAAGACAGAAACTAATATCAATCTCATTATGCTCCTATTTATCAATATCAAAACAAACTTTGGCATCTATATTTTGGTTTGATCCGCCCACCACCAGGGCCATGCAGAGATGTTTAAAGGGGCGGGTGCTCAAAGTTAAAAACAGGCACATAGAGCCAGGCTGAACAACAACACACATTCTTTAAGAATCTAATACAGAATCGCATCATACTATATCACTGTTTTACCTGATGGGGTACAATGTTGCTGTTGAGGAGTTTCTGCTGATCCTGCTCCTGATAGTGCAGGAGGAACGGGCTGTGTTGAGCTGCAACTGGAGACTGTAAAAAGTCCATAGGAGAGATGGTAGCTGATTAAACAAATGCTATGAGATAATAATAAAAAGATTGGTGAAAGTGCCATGTCAGCAACCATAAGGCAACAAAACTGTGAGAAACAAACTAGACTATGAATCACTCTTTGCCTCTCTTCTTCCTCCCATCTCCTCATCTCATTTATCACTCTCTACTTGCTGTCCATCTGAGGCACAATTTACTATTGCAATAAACTATTATTTAATTATCCACACTTAAAAACCTTATCTATCTATTCTATAATAAAACTGTTTTTGACTTACTTGACCAGAAGTATTGACGGCTTCTTTTTGTGGTTGAGTTGTATTTTGCTCTTCCTAACATAATGAAAACATGGCAAATCCATATTGGCAAAATATGTGAATAATATAGCTATCATAGACACACTGATAGTTAAGTAGTTTATGCACCATAATAATTCTACAACAAATTCATCTGTAAACTTTAACACGAGTGAGGTTTTTCAGACAAAAAGGAAAGAAATCTTAAAGGATTTAATTACCTTTAACAGCTTTAGTTTATCCTTGAATTTTACTCTAGGTCCAGCTTTTGTGATCAATTGATCAATTTCCTGTTCATCGAGAAGATACAGACTTTCCTTATCAATTTCTTGAGCTGTAATAAAGTTAAATAGCAGAAATAACGATTATTTATAAAATTACTTCAGAAACACTTTTTTAAAGGAGTTCTGCATTGATGTATGATTTGAACACATTTAATTCCCTTTTATTTTAAGCAAGTATCACTTTCCAGTCTTAGGACATCTTCTCTTGCACATTTTGTGGAGTAAATATGAAAATGTGTATTAATAGGTATTATTTTTCAGAGTTAACAAAACGTATAAGTATCAATATCTGTACCCATCACTGATGCACAGTAATAATTTACCTTCAAATGCCTCAATCCAGTCACTTAGTTTCCATTCAGTCAGTTTGTTTCGCACAAAACCATCCATGACCAAGAATAGAAACTGAAAGAAATTGTAATTTCTGATCCTGTCAAGGTGAACGAGCGGACTCTAGCGCAGAACTAAGGTTTTAATTAAAGAGAGTTTATTTACAGTGACACCAGGCGCTATAAACAACAGTGCAGAGCAATTAGTGCTCCCGGGAATCCAGGGAAAAATGAACACGTCCAAAACTCCTCTTCTCAATCGCCAGTCCCTCACACGTCCTCTTTTGTACGATACACGACGTCCACATACGAATATCCTAACTCACGTCAAAGACAAGGGAAAATAGGGAAGCGTCCAGTAGGGTCTGTACACGGGAAGAGAACACAAGTTAGACATCCACAGAAACACGAGCGCCACGATCCAGCGACAAGTAACACAGAGCCGCCGCCCTGCGCAGCAGGTGAGTGGAATAATTGCAGGTGCGCAGGCCAAGAGCGTGGACCAATGACTGTAGAAAATGTGGGCGGCCTGACAGCTCCCCGTTATGCTGGCTGCATTGTAGATCATAAACCCCGCCTCCTCCGTGTTAACGGATGGCACTGGGGTCAGACCGACTAAAATGAAAGCCTTCTCCTCAGAAACCTTTTTTCTAGAGTTCCATCTGCTATTTTAAGTAGTTCTTATAACATTAATTTGGGTTTAGGGAGTCATTTTTCTCACAAATGTATTTTAATGATAACTAGATGCTGTAATGATAACACATTTATGCACTTAACATATAACTATAACATCTATGATGAATGTGGTTCAATTCAACACATGCGTTGAAGGCATTGACACATTGACTATATGTGTAAATGGCCCAGACGTGGTACTGCAAAGTCAGATTTAGTCACTTTGCAAAACTGAAATACCAAAAACCTCCACCCCAGAGAGAAGGGTTACATCTCCTGGGTTTAGGTGTGGCTTGCCCCTCTGGGGGCGGGGGTACCTGGACCTGGGATATAGAGTATGTTTGGGGAGTGCAACTGTCTGTGCAGTGTCTATTTGTGTCTGTCTAAACGTTGGGTGAGTGCTGAGTATTTGGTTGTGCATATGGGGTGGGAATGCACGTCTGTGTCCACGTGTGCCTGTTTGTCTGTGTCTATATGTCAGGTTGGGTCTTAGACTCAACCTCTCTGGGTACATCTCAGGCCCTCCAAAGTACGGAGGCCTATCTCCCCTCACCACACTCCCTGCCGGTGGCTGATGCCCTCAGACGTTGGTGTGTTGGTGGTCCTTGTCGACTGGGGCTGGGCGCTCATGTATGTACCGGCTCACTCCTGGTGGCTGATTGGCGGGGCCTGGCGCCTGTGGCCCGGCTGGGCCCCTTCCGGGGGATGGGATGCCCTCTGGCCTCTGGGCCTGAAGCTCGGTCCTCTCTGGCACAGCTGGCTGCCGGCAGAGCCCACAGGCATGCCACTGCAACCCCCTCTGGCCTCTGCTCCGTAGCTGCTGGGTGACCTCTCGTTTGGGGCTCTACTCAGCTCTTCCCAGGAGGGTGGCACGGTTCCCCCCCTTTTGGTGGTCCTCCTCGGGTCCTTGTACTCTGGGCCTCTGGATATCTGGGGCCTGGATCTCCTCCATACGTGCTTCATACCCTAGTGGACGGGGCTATGGCTCCCCACACTCCCTAGCAGATCTTTACCTTTGGAATACAAGCATGCTGATCCACACAGGTGTACACACGGGTGTTCACAGACGTGGACTACACCTTTCTTGGCTGCTGCCTCAAAGCACATTGTGCGCTGTCTATCTTACGTGCTGCACAATATCGTTTAATATTTAGTATCTACTGCTAGCTAGTTTATTGTGATGGTGCTGTTTTTTTTTTTATTATGTTGCTCTTTGTTGTTTGCGTTCTCTTCTGTTTTCTTTTCTCCATACAGGTGATCCAGGTGTTTTTATCTTTTTTTTCTTTCTTCCCCCCTTCTCACCGTCTCTTCTCCCCTTTGGTTTTTATTTCTCTCCCTCTCTTTCTTTCATTCTTTCTCCCTGTCCTATCCCCAGTCATGTCTGTCCCGTTTGTAGCAACCGAAAATAAAATAAATTCATAATTATAATAAAGGTCAATCAAATGGACCAATATGGCAAGGCCACGATGATCCACTTGGTAAAATAAATCCGCTTGGCATCTTTCTTGGCCTGAAGACAACAATTCTGATGGCTAAAGATCCAAACGGGACACACAAAAAAAAAAAAAAAAAAAAAAAAAAAGAAATACCAAAAACCGGCAAGCTGGTTCGCGGACAGATTACCAAACTGATCCATTTTTATGGAGAGTAATGTGCAATACCTGATGTCTTTTAGTGGTGAATGATTTATTGAAATTATTCCGATTATTATAACATATATTCTAATTCAGACTAGATTTGAAATATATATTTGAAAGTAAACAGCTTCGACCAAACAATATAACTAAAATTTGATTTCAGGTACAAAAACACGACGAATTGTTCAGCCCTAGTTGTCATTATCAGTTAGTAAAAGTTATTCCTCAGTTGCCCATGGTTTACAGTCTGCTTAAACAAGATTGAATCATTAGCAGAAGAAATTTCTCTTGCCACTGCCTGCAATTTTTAAATCACTGAAATGAATAGTTTTATTGCACTTTTCTGTAAATAAGTAAAATAGATTTTTTTGTACACCACCTTTATTGTTATATCTATAGTGTCAATTCGAGATTTCAAATTGTTCCTTAGAAGTTTTATGGTTTATTTTCTTGTCGAAATTAAAAATCAGAGTATGTTTTGCTCTCAAGAGTTTGCATTGTGAATGTTTGTGTAAATGTTTAGGAATTTAAAAAAACAAAACAAAATTTCAGTATTTGAAATTCAAAATGTTTATATACAATGTTATTGTTTAAATGTTAGGTTTTTTTTCTTGTTTTGCTAATGTATTTTAAAGATATGACAAAATAAAACATTAAAAAAAAAGAACAAGAAAAAGCGCATATTGTTTGGTCACAATTTTCTATCTGTTTTTTGTCCTGTCTCAGTTTGTCTTGATTGCCAAATATGTCTTGACCTGTGTTCCCACTCAGTGAAGCCTGCAATTGCATGAAAAAGTAATATGTTGAGGAAAGAGAAGTCACTACTGAGTCAATATGCATATAATTGGCTTTTCTTAAAATTGTAAATCTTAGAACTTACATGCAGCTTTTAGTCTTATTTACTGTCCTAGCATAAAGTGCCAAGTATTTAAGTCCTAATTTTGTTGATCGTAGACTGCAACTTTTTTTTAAATATATGAAAGGTGTATGTGAAATATTTTTGCATGTTGTCTTTAACAACATTCAATAAAACAGGGTATAATCAAAAGTACTGTTGTTTTTCCACATAGAGCATAAAAAACTGCAGAATTTGTGTCAGTAAGAACAAAAAGAGGGAAGAATTGTGACATCACTGAAAAATTTGATAGCTGGCCTGGCATAAAAACAAAATCAGCAAATGAGTTCAAAACAAAAACAATTGGACGACACGGACTCAGGCGCTGTCATTGTCCTGGGTGTGACCCAGTGTTTTGTGTTATTTGTAATCATTCCCAGTATTTAGTGTTCTCTGTGCCTCCCTTATGTTTGGTCTCTGTGCTTCTCAGTTGATCTGTCTCCCGTCAGTTGTAGCCCCAAGTCAAGGCCGCGTCACTGTGTTACGTTTCCTGTTTTACTTTGAAGGTCTGTGTCCTGCATGAATGTACTTCCCTTGGGTCTCATCATGTCTGATTTCACCAAGCTCTATTCCCTATCTATGTCTCAGTCCCCTCGTTATTGCCCATTGTATTTAAGCCCTGTGTTTCTCTGTGTCAGGGTTGTGTGTGTGTGTGTGTGTGTGTGTGTGTGTGTGTGTGTGTGTGTGTGTGTGTGTGTGTGTGTGTCCCATCATGGCTATGTTTCTCTGCGTGTTTCCCCGTGAGTTTAGTTTATTCTTTTCCAGTTTAGTTTTGTGTTGTATGCCATTTCCTTTGCCTGCAATAAAGCTGTAGTTTTTGAGTTCATCCCTCGTGTCCAGGAGTCTGCATTTTGGGTCCAACTCCTGCCTGCACAGCCAAATCTTGACAAGGACAGACTGGAATCACAAGTTAACTGTTCTTTTATTTACACAAAAACACCAGGTGCAGAATATATACAGGTGGGAGGGAAAGCCAGGGGTTCCAGTGGTCTGCGGGGTAGGGTCGGGGGAGAGAAACAAATCATTGTCACTCATTCTCTCCGCTTGAGAGATCCACACGCACGACACTCTTTCCACAGTTTGAGATGTCTAAGCACAGTTAGTTACATACACAAGCACACTAGAATTCACCAAGCTGGATTTACACTAACTTATCAAACTCAATAGTCCAGCAACAAGGAGATCAGAGCCACTGCCTTAAGTAGTGGCCAGAGAACAAGATGAATCACCAGTGTGTGCTTAGGAGCAGGTGCGTGGGCCAAAAGGGAAAGCTCGCAATGAGCTCCACCCAGGCAGAGTGATGAAAGAGAGGGGGAGGGCGAGCACAACCAAAACAAAGGCTTGGAAAGAGGGCACACCGGGCTGGAGAGGGCACACCGGGCTGGAGCATACAGGCTTGACTTGGGACACATGGAAAATATTGGAAATGCATATATTGCATTTTTGGTCTCCCAGAAGATGGCCCCGACCAGGTAGGAAGGTGCGAGAATGAGTCCGGGGTCTTCCTCCTCCTCTGTGGTGTTGAACTGCTGGGAGAGCGCATCCGGTTTCACGTTCCGTGATCCTGGTCTGTAGGTGAAAGAAAAGTCAAAACAGGTGAAAAACAAAGCCCACCAGGCCTGCCTGGAGTTGATACGTGTGAATGACCAAAAGTATTCCAAGTTTTTGTGGTCAGGCCATACAATGAATGGTTGTGCGGCCCTCTAGCCAGTGCCTCCATTCCTCCTATAAAAGTTTAATAGCCAACAGCTCCCAGTCCCCGATGTCATAATTATACGTTGTGGGGGAGAATTGGCGAGAGAAAAAGGCACATAGGTGGAGCTTGTCATCCTTTTGTTGAGACAGGACCGCCCGCACCCCAGAGTTAGACGCATCCACCTCCACAATAAACTGCTGTAGGATGGGAGCTGTAGAAAACCTCTCTTTCAGCTGAGTGAAGGCTTGCTGAGCCGCTCTGTCCCACTGACATGGAACTTTTGGTGAGGTTAGTCTGGTGAGTGGAAGTGTGATCTTACTAAACTCTCTGATAAAATGCCGGTAAAAAAAAGCTAAAGCTGCTGGTGATCGGAGGGTTCGGGCCACTACACCACTGCATGTACCTTTACTGGATCAGGTTTCAGATTCCCTTGCTCAATGATGTGACCCAAAAAAGCCACAGAGTTCACATGGAATTCACATTTCTCCCCCTTCACAAAAAACCTATTTTCCAAGAAGTGAGGGAGGATTTGCCTCACGTGAACCTGATGTTCAGCAACTGCCTTTGAAAAAAAGAAATCCCATGCTACCACAGGGGAAGATGAAGAGCGGATGATGCCTGTCGTGAGTGATTCAGTTATGTATTTGTCCATTCCTTCACTCTCGGGCTGAGAGAGGCTTAATAAACAACTGGAGGGAAGTGGGGCTCCCGCCCAGCGGGATAGGTCTGGTGTTTCCGATTATTTGACTTTTTTGGGGGGCGAGGCAGGCGGAGTAGCATCTCACAGGCAGTTCAAATGGTGATCAGTCATCTGAATTAACAATGAAAGAACAACAAGAAGAAAGAATGTCTTCATTTACCTGCAAAACCAGAACTTAATTTTTAATCATTTTTAAATCCATCTTAACCTAATCCAAATATTGTATTTAGGAAGAACATCCTCCTGAATAACTTATTCTGAGGTTTTATGAAAATACTAGATAGTTTAATGCAGTTTAGTGCAGGCTAAGCTGGTTAATTTGCAGTTCTGTGATGAAGTTTGTCTAACTGGCTGTCATTGCTGTGAATTTCCATGTAACAATGTATCAGACATCAATCTAAATTTAAGCTGATGATCCACCTTTATATTTGCTTCATACTATTCAGGGGTTGGAACTCAGCCTTGATAGCTCATGTAATATTTGCTTGTATCTTGTTGAATTCCAGTGTGTAAATCCACAATCAGGAGTGAATCCCAGATCAGCGAAGATCAGCTGATCACATACTGTAAAATTCTACTGGACATCCCAAAACAATTTATTGTGACTTAGTTTAAGGTCATTTTGATTTTTTTTTTCTTTACACTACAGCGCCACACCAGGCATCTCCCATTTTCACCTCTGGACTTCCAGGTCATATTTGGCACAAATGTTTCTGAACATATGCCGCCCACTTGGTTATGGTGTTCCATGTATGCTATGTCTGCTAGCATCTTGAACCCTGCTGTTATGTGCTGGATTGTCTCGGGGACATCTTTACACAGCCTGTACCTGGGGTCTTGCCTGGTGTGGAAGACCCCAGCCTCTGTGGATCTTGGGCTCAGAGCTTGTTCCTGTGCTGCTATGATTAGTGGCTCTGTGCTGTCTTTCAGTCCAGCTTTGTCCAGCCAGGATTTCTGGATGTCAGCCACTTCCTCTATCTGCTAGTGGTACATACTGTGGAGGGGCCTGTCCTTCCATGATGGCTCCTGCTCTTCCTCCTCTGGTTTCTGGTATTCACTGAGCACACAGTTGGTTGGGGCTATCTTCCTTATGTATTTGTGGATGATCGTTGTCTCATCCTGGACTGTGGTGCTTGACACTCACTAGGGCATGGCCTCCTTTTTTCTGCTTAGCATCCATCTAGCTTTAGGGTGCTGGACTTGGGGTGAAACCCTCCATGCAGGGTTAGGAGTTTCCTGGTCTTGATGTCAGTGGCTTCTATCTCCAGGCCATCTTATTATCCCAGCAGGGTACCTGATCACGGGCAGATTGTGTTGGGGAGTAACGGAATACATGTACCGGCGTTACGTATTTAAAATACAAAAAGTAATTGTAACTGTATTCCGTTACAGTTACCATTTAAGAAGGTGATATTCAGAATACAGTTACTTTGTTGAAATAAATGGATTACACAGCGGTCTTTTCCCATTTCATATGTTAGCCTATGCTCTCTCTATTTTTGGTAATTCCACGCCGGTGGAAACCCAAACTAAACACACATTAAGAGGCTCTAATGCCTGTGTTTCAATCTCACAGCCCGTGTCACCTCTACTTGTTTTTTTGTAAAAAGTTTTTTGTTATAATGTATATTGTATATAATGTATATTGTAATAACATGATATTATGTTGTTCAAATGTGAAAAGTATATTGTGAGAACAATAAAGTTTCATATTACATGTGATATAGCTCTATTTTTCTTTTGCCTGGGTGGGAGCTCTACGCTTTCGTAATGTTTCGCTTTGAAACCAGACTGAAATGTTTCTGAGATATCGTTAATTTCCAGTAGAGCCTGGAACTGAAGGAAGACATTTTTTTGCAGGATTTTGGACAGGAAGGAGAGTTTAGAGATTGGTTTAAAATTTGAGAACACTGCTGCATTGAGATTTGTTTGTTTTGTTTTGTTTTGTTTTTTGAGAAATGGGTTCACTATGGTATGGTTAAGATCGGCTGGGATGGTTTTAATAATGGTTAAAACTTTAGGTCCAATAGTGTCAAAGACACTATTATCTTTGACATTATTAAAAGAGAGAGGGGATAATAGTGTCACAGGACATTCACAGACACATTTACACCTAACATCCTTCTAGAAAAAGACTTTGAGTTAATTTGCCCTTTCCACTTCCACAAAAACAGTCTATAAAGCAATGTCATCTTGTTGTTATTAATACATTGTTTGTAATATATAGCACCTTTTCACCAAAGCAATCGTCAGATAAGATATTCATTTTTGACAATCTAAGACTTTTTTCAGTATTATGAATATTTTCTCATAAATTATAAAGTCTAAGGAGCTTAGAAAGAAAAGCGTCTGGACTTCTTTAAGTTGCTTGAAGACATTTCACCTCTCATCCGAGAAGCTTCTTCAGAGTCCCAGATTTAAGACCAATGGGAGTGTAGACCCTTTACATGGGTGTAAAGGGAATCAAAACTGGATCATAGATGGCAGACAGTTGTAGACCGTGTCGTAAGCCACCGCCTCTGTTTACCCTCTGCTTTACCCTCTGTTTACCCTCTTTGAACAGAGGCGGTGGCTTACGACACCAATTGTCTGCCATCTATGATCCAGTTTCTAGATCCCGTGCCTATGCACATCCTGGTTCTTCTGACCTCAGGAGATCACATGATAGGGTGGGGCTTGGTTTCACAATGAGTTCACCCGAAACTTTGGCTGATTGTGACCAACACCTGTTTTCACACCTCGGCTCATGTGATTAGGTAGAGGATCAATAAGGGGTCCATGTCCATCTTAGGGGATACTCCAATAGGGCTTGACTCTGGGACTCTCCACCATTTGACCCAGGAATGAGAGGTGAAACATCTTCAAGTCCAGACGCTTTTCTTTCCAAGGTCCTTAGACTACGATGACCTGGATGGCTGAGAACCCCCACAGACATAAACTATATTCGCTCCTCCAGGAGAAAGCTAAGTACCCCAAAGAGAGAGTGGCTCTTTCTGCTGCCACACAGAGGTCTCTGGACAGGAAAAAGAAGTAAGAAATTAAAGGGAAACACATGTTTTTATGGTAATGCTTTTTAGATTGAGTGATTAGTGGTGTATGTGGTACTGGAGTTGGTGAGTCTCCAGCACAGACTAGGAAGATGCAGCAGAAGCCAAACTGCCCCACTACCAACAAATATGATATTACTTCATTATTACTTTTTAATTGATTCAAAATTTCACTTGATGTTATTTCTAAATGATTGTCCTCAAAAGTTATTTACATACATTCATTACTCCTTTCCTAGAGTCTTGAAGCCAAGCCAAAGACAACATGTTTGTGCCTCAGGACAGCTTAACCGTCAGGAGCAAGTCTGTACCGGTACAGATTGTAAAACATCTATTATAACACACCCATTGCCTGAAGTCATTCTTTCTCAGTACATTGTCCACCGAGGTTTCAATATTTTTATTATAATTAATTATAATTACAACATAATTTGTCACATATTAATAAAAGTAGCAGTCTTCAGACACAACCTGCTTTCGACGTATAAATAAAGATCTTTGTTTACACACTGGCATGCTGTTACATTAATTGTAAGGGGCAAGTTTGTACTTGTCCAGTAATTATTGTACCAGTATAGTACCAGTAAACATTGTAGTCATTCTTTCTTAGCTCAGTGTCCGCAAAACTTTAAACATTTTTTGTTTTTTATAGATAATTAATTACAGTTCTAACATTATTTTAGTCACATATTCATAAATGCAGCAGTCTTCAGACGCACCCTGCCTTTAATGTATTTAAAGTCATGCCCTAACTGGAGTTTTTACTCTTTTAATGCAAACCTTTCACCACTAAGACTTTAGTCAATGCTGCTAACCACACGATGGTCCTTGAATTAGCTTTGAAAATTCACATGAATGAACTGTTGCTCACCGATTAGAGCCGTATTGTGAGAGGGTCACCATGGCTATTAGCCAGGCCAGCTTCTGGGAGAAGGGTTCTTGCCCCTGTTTTTTTGTTTACAGTGTGATGATGTGAGGGGAGCCGTGGTGGAGCAATGGACTCCAGGATGAGATGGGGATAGGAGGGTTCTCCTCTTCTGCCTGGGACGAGGCTGGTCTGGAGCCTGCTCTGAAGGAGGAATTTCGGTCCTGCTTGTGAACACCTAACAAACATTTATCCTTTGTTGTGGGACAGTTACATTGTGGGACAGGGTGGGAGTTTAGCGAGCATAGAACATTGTGTTTTATATGTTTTTTTGAAATTGGGATTATTTATTTCTGGGGATTTTAGTACCTTGACAACATTTTATTGCTTGTTTTTAGAATTGTTTTTCATTCTTCCTCCCTGGTTTGGAAATAAGCTGTTTCTGATGAGACTTACATCATCTATGTGCCCTGGGTTTCTGACTCGCGCACTCTCCCCTTGTATCTAAAGAACCAGCCTCTATAGTAAGACATTCGCACCAGCGTGTCTACATATTCACGAACAAAAACATCACAGTGCTGTTGGTTTGACTGTTGCCACTCGCCAAAATAATTTGTGTCAACAGCTGATTGTCAATGAAGGAAAAAATAAGTAGCTATAGTTAAATGTAAGTCAAAAGAAGCTAAATTAAAACACTTAAAAACAGCTGTGTACCTAATTACTCTGGCTTTGTTATCTGTCATGTTTTAGTGATGCATATATTTAATATCAACTGCTTATAGCTGTAAGTTCAGTTTTATACAGACAGTCAGACAATTTAGTTGTGGTCAAAATACAATATTTAAGTGTGTATGATTTATTCATTGCATTTTTTTTTCTTCAAGGCTTTAACTACCAGATGCATGCTTAATCATCAAGGTAAGTAAATCCCAAATGTACTGTTTGGGAAAACCTGCAGTCAGTTGAGACTGAAGAAGTCACTTGGATGAGTGACAAAACATTTGTCTCACTGAAAACACTACGCGCAGATGAACACAATCAGCCTTTTGGGCTATAGTTACCAATTTGTACATTGTTTCCTTCTTTATCTATGCTGAGTTTTCAGTTCTCTGAGTCATATCAAAGTGTTTTAGTATTTGGTTTTAATGACTTATGAAAAGGAAAAAAGATACAATCTCTGACATCTTCAGTATTCTGATTATTTTTTCATAAACTATAAACTACATTCACTCCTACAGGAGAAAGCTAAGTGCCCCAAAGAGAGAGTGGCCCTTTCTGCTGCCACACATCGGTCTCTGGACAGGAAAAAGAAGTAAGACAAGAAATGGAAACACATGTTTTGCATTAATGCTGTTGAGATCCAGTGATCAGTGGTGTATTTGGACTTCTTTAGGGTTGGTGAATCTCCAGCACAGACTAAAAAGATGCAGCAGAAGCCAAAAAGCCCCACTACCAACAGGTGTGAAACACGGCTGTGGGATGTTATTACTTTTTGTTCGTTTGTGTTTCCCTTTATGCAATTTCCAGATTATATTCTCCAGAGCTTATTTACATACAGTCAGCATTCCTTTCCTAGAGTCTTGAAGCCAAGCCAAGGACAAACAGTTTGTGCCCCCAGGACAGTTTAACCGTCAGGGGCAAGTCTGTACTGGTCCAGATTGTAAAACAACTTTATAACACAACCATTTCCTGAAGTCATTTTCTAGATAATCCTTCTTTCTAAGCTCATTGCCCACCAAGGTTTAAACAGTTTTTCTATAATTAATTATAATTCTAACATCATTTGTCACATATTCACATAAAATGTCACATAAAAGTAGCAATTTTCAGGCACAACCTTGTTTCAACGTATAGACAAAGATCTGTGTTTACACTCTGGCATGCTGTTACATTAATGTAGCTTCACACAACCACAGATGCACAGCAGGCATTCAGTGTGGACTTTGTTTCAGAAATGACTGAAGAATAAGAAATTGATGGGACCAAGAAACAATATAAGACATTTATATAAAAAGTATTTCTGTAATATTGTGTGAATTGATGCGTTCACTGCAGCACCACGCTGATTTCATATTTGTGCACTTGTAGCATTCAGTGTTGAGTTTTTTCTCCCACACTGCCATGTGTGTCTTTTAAACGATGTTTGATTTCATTTAAAATGTCAGATTGTTTTTTCCTTTTAGTTTTAGGTCAACTTACGGCATAAGTCTATATACGAGATTCTTTTCTGTTGTTTGCTTCACCGATGGTTCATGACCCGGTAAACATGTTTAACATGGTATTAAACAAGGGTCCTACTTAGATATTTAATTCTGGCCTATGATAAGGTAATAAAGCCACATATGAACAGTGGTCATGTTTATTTTTCAAAAATCTCTAAACATCATTTACTGTATTTACACATCCTTTTTTCTTTTTTTTTTTTTAGGAACGACACTATAATTTGAATTGACTCTGAATAGCAGCACAAATCCAGAGTGAAGAAGGAGGCCAAGCAGATTTTTCAGGCATATTTAAAGTAATAAGACTTTAATTATAATCATTTTTATGTAGCAGGATACAAACATTCTTGAGCAAATAAATCTGTATTATATTCAATAGACTTGCACACATTGCAACATTAAACAGAATAAGTCTCATCAGCCATTACACAATAATATGAGGTAATATGAAGCTTTATGATCTGTTATCTCAGTAATAGCAATCTGTATCAGGATGCAGTAAACCACATTGATCCACTCACCCGGATTTTTAGCGTTAATTCACAAATGTTTATGTGTCACAATAATTTGCATTTCAGTTTGAATAGAGGTAAACTGACATGTATGATAAATACGTAGTGAATACAAAGTTGGGAAAGGCAAGCTTTTGGCTGTTTACAAATCACTCCATAATTTCCTCCATATACAGATAATACACATACAGTACTGAGTGATATAATCCTACATTACACTGACTACATTATGTCCACACTGTTACACCAAAAGAAAACGTAAGCCACAGATCTCGCACACATTTGAACAAAATTACTCCAAACTCCTTTGAAAAAACTTCATCATCGTTCATTTTTCCAAGATTTTCACTGTAGTAAAAACAGCCATGTGCCATGATATACAAGACAGAGAAAGCACCTTAGCTGTGCTGGAACTTTAATATCTTTCATATGAGTTTGGTAAAGGCACCAGCCAACCATTCACATACATGCATTTACACCTAACATCCCTCAAGAAGAAGGCTTTGAGCTGAGTTATCCTTTCCACTTTCACAAAGATAGTCCTTGATGCACTGTCAGGAATCATCCTGCTGTCCTCTGCATCACGTTTGATATAAAACAGCTGGACCACAATGACTGAAATAGCCGAGCACACACAGTTGGATGTGCAAACACAGTTCTCTTTAAACCTGACGATGAACTGTATTTCTCCATAGCAGCCATTCTTGAGTTTTATGACACAGTCTGTTCTGTCTGCCTCTTCACCCTTTACAGAGTAAACAGTATTTCTGTTGATGAAGCTGTCAAAGGCTTCCACTGATCTGAATGAAACAGGTCGATTTAAGAGCTCTTCTATTGCTAGTTTTATGGATCCTGTGATATCCAGATGCCGTGAATTTCCAGCAGATTGTAAATCAGTGGTTCATTACTGGTGAAATGCTGGCTAACGGAGAATTTCCGTTAGAAACAAGGGAGCGAAGGTGACTCGGCAGGCGCTGCCAATAGAGAAACTTGTCTTGAATTTTTTGAGGATTGTAGTTTATGTTGCTAAGCAGTGCCCTTAAATTTGCACTGTTCCTCTCAAAACTGAATGCTGATGTTGCCCAGAGAGGCCCCCAGTTACGCACACAGTCAGCTAAGTGGATCAACTGATGGCAGTTGAATGAAACGTTTTCTTCACCATAGAGTTCTTCCATGTTTCTAACAAAGAGTACCAAGTTCTCATGGGCCAGCTGAAGGTCATTTTGGGAGACTGATTCTTGTAGCAGAATGTGAATGCTGATCGACAAACAAAAAAAATGCTGGAGAAATGAAGGCTGAAGGATGCCTGGTAGGACACTAACAGCATAAAATAAAAGGAAAGCTCGCCACTCAGATGCTTTCCAAGTGTCCCGACCCTTCAGTGACTGTAGAGATCTGCTCATTTCTGATGGAGGCTTTAACATTCGGAGATAAGAGTCCATCTGTGAAATCTGTTGACCTACATACCAGTCTTTCATGGAGTTCTCTGAGTTCAGCCACAATCCAATAAGTTGCTTAGTCACACCAACTAAAACTGAGTGCATATATTCTGGTACAAATCCAAACACAATGTCAAACAAAGGAAGTCTGGAAAGTAAGGACATTCCTTTTACTCCACACTCTGAGGTGTTTTCATGGGAGCTTTCAGCCTCTCTTGCATTTTCAACAAACATATTCTTTGATCTTGATTCTTGTTTAGTTTCATCATATCGATATGACCTCACAGATCCAGAGCCCTTTGGTACCACTGTGCCAGGGTGTAAACACCAGTCACAACCATATTCTCCATTGAATTGTTTGCAATTCCGGAGAAGTGGCCTCGCCACAGCGTCAGAGGAGCAAACCAAGCAGAAGACTTTTGATGAATGAAGAGTGCCTCTGCTGTCTCTCCACTGAAATGGATTTTGGGCTAAATCACAACATTCATCCACAAATGGTTTCAGAAATGTGTTCATATGAGGTTTTCCTTGGCCAAACCAAAATCCAGCAACTATCATATTTTCCTGTCTTTGTGTGTAAGGAAGTTCATTAATAACAAACTGAAGGGGCCAAATTGAGTATCTGGTGGTGCTAAAAATTGGTACTTCATCAAAATTCCATGTCAGTGTGAGATCATCTGCAGCTAGTTTACCCTCTCTGAGGAGATTCTGGTACATCATCCCATCCATCACATCTTTGATGTTATCATGCTCATCTTTAACTGTTTTAGGTAACAACTCAGTGCTGTAGTTCTCAAGGATACCTTTCAGAAGGTCTTTCAGGGATAAGTACAGAAAGAAGTTTCCATTTTGAATGCTGCTTGCTTTGTTGAACACTGAGGCACAGTGAGAACAACAAGAATCAGGATTGTTTCCCATGAAGTTTTTACACTCTTGACAGTAAAACATTGTAAATGTGGTTGGACTTTGTCCTTGTGTCACTGTTGCCCAGGAGCAAATTGGTTCATTACTCTGAAAAGACAAACAAACATGTGTTTTATATACACAAATAATATTGGGATAACAACATGACTTGAGGAGAAACATCAATATTCCTTCTTACTGTGTCACTGCCTCTGTCAACTGCTGAAGCAGACTCCAACTGAAATGGAAAAATGTTGTGGTCCTGCATCTAAAACAAGGCCAAAACATCAGCCAGGCCTACCGATACTCTTAATATTTCATATTCACGTGATGAAGGTGCATTTCAGATATGTATATTAAACAAATTTAAAGCAGTTTGCATTTGTTAGCTTCATTATTTATTGCTCCTCTTAATGCAGCATTATGGAGACAAAATGTTTGTCTGCAGATAAAATCATTGTAAATCACTGGATCTTCAACCAGTTTAAAAGTATCTTTTCTGACTTCCTTTCTTACCGTGTCTTTGCCATCTGTTGTGTCAGACGCTGAAGCAGATTCCAAATGTTGAGGAAAAATGTTTGGCTCCTACGTGAAAACAAATACCAAATAATTATCCAGACAAGGCACAGGCCTTCATGTTGTTTACTCACAGTTTGTGAAAAACAGTTGAGCTGTGTTGGAGAATTCTGCAGAGGACTTAGGTAAACAGCTAACCTGGTTCACTTTGCTCATATTGACACCTGTTTTACTCTAAAGATATGAGTCCTTGAATCAATCAAAATGTATTTTTATTAGTGCTGTCAGCATTAATCTCTTTAAAATGACGTTAACGCCATAATGTCATTTTAACTTAATGGCGTAAGCGGTTAGCTTGTTATTGTTTAGCGGCGTCCAGCTCCACGCATGGGGAGATCCACGGTAACCAGCTAACGTAGATTTGCTGCGTTAATGCGGCTATGGTGTCAATGTCATTTTAAGTCTGACATCATGTCAAGTTCAGGGTTCATTTTAAGATTATAATCATGACCTATAGGGCCCTGCACGGTGTAGCTCCAACTTACATCAGTGATCTCTTCTGCCTTATCGCCCCAGCAGGTCCCTGAGGTCTTGTGACCAGGGACCAGGGCTTGCTGGTTTTCCAGCATACAAGGTTAAAAACAAACAGTGACAGAGCGTTTGTGTCAATGGCTCCCAGACTCTGGAACTCGCTCCCTTTGAGTTCGAGATCTGTGGACTCAGTCATTTCATTTAAAAAGCAGTTAAAAATGTATCTGTTTAAACTTGCTTTTGGTTGCTTTTGTTTGTTTGAGGTTGTATGTCCATTTCTGCTTGTGTGAAGCACTTTGTGATTTTATCTTGAAAGGTACTATTTAAATAAAATTTTACTTACTTACTTTACTTAAGGAGATTAACGCTGACAACATTAATTTTTATATAATAACATGATGACATAACAAAAATGATCAAAGATTAATCACTCAATAATGAACCATGTTCAGACACAATGAGATCATACCATTTCTGGACTGTCTCTTGCTCTGCGCTTGTTTCCATCATGTCAGCAGAATCATCATTTGTTCTATTCAAGTCCTGCAGTGGTGAGGGATAAATTTAAGATGTATTTCGTATAATAAAAGAAGTGTGATCAGTTTTGTTATATTGATACCTGCCAGTGTGAAATGCATTACATGCACAGTAAATGTACATTAAATACATTATCTTGTACTCGAGTATTGTGAGGTTATTTTTCTGAATGTCACAGCGCTCACACACAACCTCCACTCTGATGCATTGCATACACTATTAATCTACTGATCTTAACCGCCATTTGTTTTATTAAAAAAAACGTATATTTAAACTTTTATGGCTTTATGTTCCAGGATTTTTTTGTAACATTTAATAAAACATTACCTGTAAGTATTCTCTGAGTCTCCTTTTAAACTTTACTCTTGGTCCAATTTTTGGAATCAAAGTATTGATTCTGCCTGACTCGAGACTTAGGAAAGCTTCTTTGTCAATACCTCCTCTGCAACAAAACGAAGTATTCAAATTGAAATTAGACAAAAAAAATATCAATATGAATTACAGTACAGCAGTATTTATGAAGGACCAAAACCAAACTATAATAAAATACCTTCAAATCTGTGAATCAGCTCACTGAGATGCCATTCAGTTCATTTTTCCTGGACAAAATGACATGTCTCCATCTACAGAATCAAAACAAACACATCACACATTAATGAAACAATAGACCTGCTGATATAGAATAAAAAATAGCTGCCTTACCTGTAAGTAATCTTTCAGTCTCTTTCTAAACCTTACTCTTGGTCCAATTTTAGGAAACAGTAAATTAATTCGGATTGAATCTCCAAGGTTTAGAAACGTCTCCTTGTCAATGCCTTCATCTGAAATAATGCCAACAACAAAATAAAATATTCAAAAGTCAGATGAAGCTAACACTGCAAAACATTAATATTCATCAACTTTGAATATGAAAGACTTTTGTTTCTATTAAGTCATAAATCACAGGAATATCCAGACGACTTCTGAATCAGTAAATTCGATGCTGTTCTAGTGCCATTACAGATACAACAATTCCCATTAAATAATAATAATAAACTCATACCTTTAAATCTCTGCATGAACTCACTGAATCCCCATTCAGTTAGTTTGTCCTGGACAAATCCAGATGTCTCCATTGGAATTTGCTGTGGGGACAATCAGCAATAACTGATTTATTCATATTTAAAGTATTATTCACTAAATAAGATCATTTACTTTCCTGTGGGGTTCTGAAGTGTCAGAGGTTTAAGTTTCTATTTATCTCAATAACCTTTTCATGTGACAAAGGAGGTAAATGTTTTTGTCTCTTAGCTGGATTGAACTGTTGCAACTTTTGCGACTTCATGTCACTCTGTAGAGTTCATCTAAATATCTAACGTTTCCAGTATAGTGAAATGTGTTTACACTGATACAAAGGTTTAAGTTTTATTTTTCATTTGATTTCATTTGATTTGGAATAATATGATTTTTACAGAGCCAAAGTTCTTTAAGGGGCAAAAAATGTGAAATTAGCAGGAAACTGTTGTAGCAAACATATTGACATTTTCACAAAAACATATTCTAAAAGATGTCATTAGATCTTATTAATTTCAGCGTTGATAGTTTACATACACATAATGTGCTACAGGCACTGTTTAAAAAATGTTTTAGTCTCCAGATGTCATTTATATAAAATGTATTTGTGATATCTTGTTTAATCTCTCCACTCACCTTTGCTGTCATCAACATGTTGACAAAAGCATGCATTTTTGTCATTGGCACTAAAACTATAGAGACTAAAGACCTGATACTTTACCATCAGCATACTTTTTTCTTCATACAAGGAAGCAAAAGCAACTGAACTACTCTAACCTTCATTTCTTACTTAATAGTCAACAGGAATAAAAACAAACAATAGGAAGGACACTGTCAAGACTGACAGGCAGGCAGGAGTAGTGTTGGCCGTATGACACTGATGCTCCCACACAAGCTTCAAACTCAAAGTTACATTTTCCTTGAACCACTATTTCAAAGGTTGCTTCATTGTGGAAAATCACATGTCCCATGTACATGATCACACCCCACCCTAGTTACTGAAACATGCCCTACCATCCCAACACATCCTGTTCCCCTAGGACACCTTCATCTACCTGCTACATTACATAAGTTTACAGAATCAACTGACCAATCAATCCATCGTTACAAAATTGTATTTATATCATTCACACAATGAATGATATAAATACTTTGATACAATCAGCAAATGGAAATTGAGATTTCATGTGCTGTCTCCTATTTCATTACTAGATGTCACTGAACAAAGCTTTGAATGAATGAACCAGTTTTCAACAGGACTGATCAAGTGGTTCAATAGAGGTTCATGGTTTTATTTGCACATCACTAGGCAGAGTTGGACCCAAACGCAGCATTTGGAAGATGGAGTGGTAAACTAAAAAGTGACCTTATTAACTTGAACTAAGTGCAAAATAATTCAGATAAAAACAAAACAAACAAAAACAAACAAACAAGGAGATCTGAATCTTCGAGGAAAACAGACTACACAAGACTAAGGAGCTTGGAAAGAAAAGCGTCTGGACTTCGCTTGAAGACGTTTCACCTCTCATCCGAGAAGCTTCTTCAGGTCTAAGGTTAAATAGTGGAGAGTCCCAGAGACTCCCAGATTTAAGCCCTATGGGAGAGTTCAAATAGTGAACAGAGGCAGTGGCTTACAACACCAACTATCTGCCATCTATAATCCAGTTTTGAGATCCCTTCCCAGACACCTCAACACCCACACACATCATAGGGCCTTCTGACCTCAGGAAATCACATGATAGGGTGGGGCTAGGTTTCACAATGAGCTCACCCCAAACCTTGGCTGATTGTGACCAACACCTGTTTTCACACCTTGGCTCATGTGATTAGGTAGAGGATCAATAGGGGGTCCATGTCCATCTTAGGGGACACTCCAATAGGGTTTAAATCTGGGACTCTCCACCATTTAACCCAGGAACTGAAGAAGCTTCTCGGATGAGAGGTGAAACGTCTTCAAGCAATTTAAAGAAGTCCAGATGCTTTTCTTTCCAAACTTCTTAGACAAGCCTGACCTGGATGACTGAGAACATTCACAGACATACTACAAGAGACAAAATGTCACCAAAATAAGACAGGAAATGTCTGAGATTGACCTGGACTAAAATACATGCGCTTCACACACACAGAAGGCAAACCACAGAGACACGATAGGCTTAACAAAAGCGACACTAAGGACAAAACACATAAACAAGACTAGGAAACAAAAGAGAACCAACAAAATTAAACAAGAAACCGGAGACTATAAATATAGATAACAAACCTCAGAACCCCTATGAAATACTGAACTCTGGGCAAAATAATGCAAAGTATCAAGTGAAATTATTCCTGAGATTGAAGAAAAAGAACCATGAGTCCATAACAACAACAAAAAATGCTGGGACTAAGACCCAGGACAATGACAAATATAATACAGACTGATTCAGTATCTACTTACATGTGGTCTCTTCTACTGAACTGAAGTCTGTTTCTTCTGTGTATTTTGCATGAAACAGTCCCCTCCCACCACTGACACAGATCACATGGTGACATATTTTGTGTTACGCAACAGAACAGCAGATCTTAAACACTGCGTCATTACTCAGATAAATCTGTTAATTCATGTTGATTAGAAGAAATAGAAAAAAAAAATCATTCTAGCAACTTGAGTTTAGATGTGTGGAGTGAGATATGTTACAGAAGGTGTTGAAAGTAATGCAGATACCAGAGAGTGAAGCCAAGTTGCACACCCTGAAGGTTTTTTTTGTGTTTTTTTTAATAAACTGGTTTCTTATTTGCATAGGCAGAAAGTTGCTGTTGATATCCGGGAGCAGGTAGAAGTGATTTGCACACTAGCTTGAATACCCACTCCTAATTTTCCTCAAAACCAACGACCTCTTGCACAACCACCACCAACACCATTTATTATGCGTGCAAACAAGTTATTATCTGTGCAAATGATATGGTATCCCTATCCTGGGATATCAACAGCAGCTATGAATACTATATAGATGTGCTCATTGCTGATGCAGGCCTTAACATGTGAAGACTGCTGTTGTACCTACATGCATTTAAACCAAAGACACACACACCAACTAAAACTGAGTGCAAATATTAGGGTACAAATCCACACAAGGAAACACAATGTCAAACAAAGGAAGTCTGGAAAGCAAGGATACTTATTTTACTCCGTACTTTGATGTGTTCTTTTCAGCCTCTCTTACATTTTCAACACACATATTTGTTAATCTTGATGTTTGTTTCATTTCATCATATCGCTGTGACCTCACAGATACAGAGCTTTGTGCTACCACTGTGCCAGGGTGTAAACACCAGTCACCAGCAAATTCTCCATTGAATGGTTTGCAATTCTGGAGAAGTGGCCTTGTCACAGCATCAGACGAGCAAACCAAGCAAAATAATTTTTAGGAGTGATCTATGAATGGCTTCATGTGTGTGAAACGTGTTTATATTAGGAAAATTTTAATGGCTTTATATTCCAGGATTTGGCTGTTTTTTGTTTGTTTTTTAAAATTACCTGTAATATTCTTTTTATAAACTTTACTCTTGGTCTGATTTTAGGAATCACAGCAATCTAAGCTAAACTGGCACTGGAAACTAAACACAAGGCAACACAGGCTTAAAACATGACAAGAGAACCACAGCACAAAGAGAGGGTACAACACCACACAGAGCAAACACAGGGCTTAAATACACACTGGTAAATAATCAGGGAACTGGAGACAGGATGGAAACACACCTGGGAGAAATTAGAACTAATGAGAGAAGGGGAAGCAAAACTAGACCCACTGCACGTAGGGCTGGGACTATCAAAATAAAACTGGAAACAAAAGACAATTCACAAAGACACGGACTTGACACTGAGAGACAGACTGAAGGAATATGACACATGGAACACAAGGAAGACAGTGATGTAAACTGGAAGCCAGAACAGCAAATAACATCAAGAGAACAAAACCATGAGTAACTAATAATCAGGAAGTAGAACTTAAACAGAAAACACTGGGTAACAATCAGGACCATGACAAGCAGATTGACATTTCTGGCTTTTAGCGAAGAAGCTGTATATCTTTTGGTACTTCATGTCACATTGTATGAGTTTACATGGTCACAGGGGTATAAAACCAAGCATTTATGAAACAAACAAACAACAAACATTTATGAAACAAGATCACCTTTGTGATGAACTGACTTTGAGACTGCAAGCCTGTCCCTTACATCACTGAAAGAGGTCACATGTACACATGCACACTGCAGTACCAGACTCTGTGGCCACACAGTGGTTTAATTTTTTTTTAAAGGATAACCCTTTATTTCCCTGAAATAGAAAGTACAAAGGATTTGGGAACATGACGTCTGCCATGACCATTTTCCTAACCGCATTAAAGCCAATGTCCTGTTCCATCCACTGCACACACCCAAAGCAAACAACCCCATGCAAACAGAACACACCATATTTACTCAGAAGAAAAATTAAGCTTGAACAACTTGCTGAACACAGGCAATCTGATTGCCTGATATTGCAACTATAATCTCTATCTAATGTTCTCTGTCATTCAGTATTGTCACTGTGATCCTGCTGTTCTTTAATTTTTTGCTCCTTGTTGTTATTTCTGTTGACAATGGGAGTGATATTGTGTAATGAAATTGCGCAAAGAGCAGCTCAGTTATCATAGTTTTGAAGGAAAGGTTTAAAAATAATTTGAAATAACAATTGTTGTGTAATCTTTGGAGATGTTTTAGACTACAGATAAACTGGAGTTTATTTTTATTGATGATGTAGTTATCAAGTTTCCCTTATAGATGACAGAAGAACTATTTTTAATAATTGTTAAACCAGCGAACAACCGAAACCCCTTATTTACTCTAAAGTGAGAGGCCATTCCTGTCCGAAAGGTTTACAAGATAAGAGTCAAGAGAAGATTAGTTTTTCCCAACTTGCACGTTTCTCCAAATGTTCTTAGCTCCCTCATCTACTCATCCATGCAGTAACACATCATGTTTAACCACAAAAGGACTCCAACTGAAATAAGAAAAGTTTTTGTGTCAAACGAGAGGCTAATC